CATCAGTGCTTTTCTAATCTGAATACAGGAGTTTGTATCGCTCTGCATCACAGTAGGTTTAAAACCCGAGTGTCAGATATGACTGCGTTACTGCTACAGCCGAACACACATCCACGGATCTGCTTCACCGAACCCCCGACAGCAGCCAGGACTACACCACCACACACTTTCATACACTGTCATACACTTTAACCTCACTGTTTCCAGTAAAATCAAAACCAGTTTGGACTCTGATCAATGCTGAAGAGTTGAAGGAGAAGCTTCACTTACTGGTTGCTGCTGCAGGTCTTTGCCGAAGTCTCTGAGCTGCTGCTGCTGCTGCTCTAATGGTCAGGCGTGGCTTCCTGAGGAAACAGAGCCGACAGAGAAACGTCTCCAATGGAGAGAAAATAGAAAAAAATGACATTCACTGATCTAATCTGAAGAGTGTAACCTGAAAACCTCAAACATGCCAAACTCTAAAAATAACGCTAAAGACGCTTCTGAACAAACAACCAGACTCAAAGAAACTCTGACACGTTTCCTGAACACAATCGAAAACTAGAGGATTGTTCTGTGTTATTCAGCATGATGATAAGTTTAAGTCAGGACAGCTTGAACCTGTGTGAGCTCGCGTGTGGTGTAAACTCACTCAGATCAGAAACGTAAGCTCGGGGTAAAGCTTTCTGTAGCACACAGACCTGAGCCCGAGCTGCACTCCTCGCCTGCGTCCTATACACCGCACATGTACCCAGATATCTGACCCCTCCCCCCACCCCGAGTTAGACTCCTTCAGTCTGCAGGGTTTTTTTAATGTGCTGGAATTCTCTACACATGACTCGTGACTTTCCAGCTTCCTCCCATCAGAGCCGCCAGTATCCAACACACACACACTGTGAGTGTGTGTGTGTGGGGACCAAGGCACTTTTGAGACTCAAAATGTGGTTTTAGTGTTAGAGGTACAATCGGTTATTGGTGTAGGTGCAGGGTAAAGGTCAGGGAAAGCATCATGTCAACAACATGTCCTCACAAGATATGAATACCGACGACGCGTGTGTGTTTCTCCCAGTATCCTGTAGAGGTCTGATCTTCACGTTCCCACTATGATGGTTGAGATAACAGGAAACATCTGTGCCTGAGCTACTGTGTGAGGTTGTTTTCGAAGAATTAGGGCGAGGGTGGAGCTCACATGAAGTCTGTGGGTGGGGTTTCTTTTTACAACTGAACTTGTGCAGACAGCATGGAGCTGCTGCTGAGTTTCTCCAGTACTCACCTGTCTGATGAGGTCATCTCTCAGGTGCTCCTGACTCTGTTTGTGGCTTAAAGAAGATTTGATGAGCAGCAGATTGTAAAACAGAGATTCACCGTTTTTTAAAGGGCTGTAAAATGCTTTCTATTCTATTCTATTCTATTCTATTCTTTTTTTGCAACAATATGTTTATTAA